TGGCAGGTTGATTACATTGGACCACTTCCATCATGGAAGTGTCCTTCCCTGCACACAATGCTTCTGCCAAAACTACCATCCATAGACTTACAGAATGCCTTATCCACTGTCATTTTATCCCACACAGCATCACCTCAGATATAGGGACTCACTTCACAGCAAATGAAGTGAGGCAATGGGCCCATGCTCATGGAATTCACTGATCTTACCATGTTCTCTATCATCCTGAAGCAGCTGGCTTGATAGAACAATGGAATGTCCTTCTAAAGACATAATTACAGTGCAGCTAGGTGGCAAAACCTTGCAGATTTGTGATAATGTTCTCCAGGAGGCTGTGTATGCTCTAAACTAGTGTCCAATAGATAATGTTGTTTCTCCCATTGCCAGGATTCATGGATCCAGGAATCAAGGAGTGATAATGGGAGTGGCACCACTCACTATTACCCCTAATGACCCACTCACAAATTTTTTGTTTCCTGGCCCTGTGACCCTATGTTCTTTTTGGCTTGGAGGTCTTCGTTCCAAAGGGAGGAATGCTTCCACCTGGAGACATCACCGATTCCACTGAACTTGAAATTAAGAATGCCATCTGGCTACTTTGAGTTCCTTATGCCTCTGGATCAACAGGCAAAGAAAGGAGTTTCCATATTGGCCGGCAAGACTGATCTTGATTACCAAGAGGAAATTGGGTTGATATTACACAATGGAAGCAAAGAAGAGTATGTTTGGAATGCAGGAGATCCCTTGGGGTGTCTCTTAGTACTACCATGCCCTGCAGTTAAAGTCGATAGAAAACTACAGTGATCCATTTCCAGTACAACTACTAATGGCCCAGACTCTTGAGGGATGAAGGTTTGGGTTACCTCACCAGGCAAAAACCCTGACCAGCTGAGGTGCTTGCTGAGGGCAAAGGGAATACGCGATGGGTGGTGGAAGAAGGTAGTTCTAAATACCAGTTACGACCACGTGACCAGTTGCAGAAACAAGAACTATAATTGTTATGAGTAGTTTTTCCGTGTATGTGTGCATCAAATATTTTTGTTTCCTTCACTTATGAGATATAAGATGTAAACAGGGCTAGTGCATTTTTGGTTGTACAATGTTACTTGTATCTTCGGTTGTACAATGTTACTTGTATCATGTTAGGTGTAAGGATGACCTTATAATTGTCTTTATTCAGAGATTACATATGGTTTAAGGAGATGTGTATAGGTGCCAAGTTGACAAGGGGTAGACTGTGATGGTTAAGGTTGTGTATCAACTTGGCTGGGCCCTGATCCTCAATGGTTTGGCAATTGTGATGTAGTTTGGCTTTTTAATGACGTGATCACCTCCATAATAAGATCTTATATAGTGTGATCACTTCCATGATGAGATCTGTTGTGAGCAGTCAATTAGTTGAAAGGTACTTTCCTTGGGGGTGTGGCCTGCATCCAATACAGGTGGACTTTCTGGCAAGGCTCATTTTCTTCTGGATCCTGCAGCTGGCTTCTGTTCATCTGACCTCTGGTTCTTGGGACATGAGCTAGCAGCTTACCTGCTATCTTACCTGCTAATCTCGGGATTCATACGCCTCCACAGCCTGTGAGCCAGAGGCCTCCTATCTGACCTTTCAATCTTGGATTCACCAGCACCTACAGCTACGTGAGTCAGGAAAAGCCTCCAGCCTGATCAACAAATTTGTAACTTGCCACCGTCTATAAACGGGTGAGCCATTTCCTTTATATAAATCTCTCTATATATGTATTTATACACTGCACTGGTTTTGCTTCTCTAGAGAACCCAGCCTAAGACAGTAGGTTTGAACTACCAATCTTTAGGTTAGTAGTCAAGTGCAAACTGTTTGCGCCACCCAGGGACCTTCTTCCAGAATAGTGGTCTCAAATTATTTTGGGGGTTGCACATCCTTAAGTGTAAAAAAGAAAAAGAAAAATTAACATATGCACACCTAATATTGAACACTTACTTATTTTATGATTACATGCGTGTGATCTACTGTAATATGCCCACTACATAAGAATAGAGATTAAATTATATTAAAAAATAAACACTTTAATTAATCTGACATTTTATTCACTAATGGTAAAAATTAATTTGCTCTCACTTTCAAAATTGTTATTAATCTTTTTAGAAACAACAATGTGATTGAATATGCTTCATCATTTTGCAGAATATCTATTCAAAAGATGTCTCAGTTATATATTGTTGATGAATAAACCACCCTGTTGTGAGCTGTATTGTATGCCTCAAAAAGAAATGCTTAAGTCCTAATTCCCAGTGCCTGTGAATATGGTCTTATTTGGAAATAAAGTCCTTGCAGATGTAATTAGTTAAGACGAATTCATACCAGATTAGGGTGAGCCCTAAATCCAATATGACTGGTGTTCTCAAAGAAGACGAGAGAAGACACAGAAGACAGATACACAGGGAAGAAGGCCATGTGAAGCTGCAAGCCTAGGAATGCCAAGGATTTCCAGCAATCACCAGAAGCTAGGAACAGGCAAGGAAGGATTCTTCCCTAAGGCCTTCAGAGAGAGTGTGGCCCTGCTGGCATCTTGATTTCAGGCTCTAGCCTCCATACCCGTGAGAGAATAAGTTTCTGTTATTTTAAACCACCCAGCTTTTGTACTTTGTTACAGCAGCCCTAGAAATCAATGTTGTTGTTGGATGCCACTGAGTCAATTCCGACTCACACCGACCCTATAGGGCAGAGTAGAACTGCCCATTTTCTGGTTAGCAATCAAGCTCTTAACCATTGCGCCACCAGGGCTCCTTTAGAAAACAACACATACATACCCCAAAGCTTAGTAGCTTAAAAAAAAAAAATTAATTATTTCTCATGATTTTGTCCTCTGATTAGGGCTCAGTTTGATGGTTCTTCACTTGAATCTCACTCTTTAAACTCAAATCTTACGTAAAATCTGTTACACACCACTTTGACTTAATGGTGCTGGAGGAGAAGTTAAAGAAAGAGGCTCTAGCTAGCCACATTCATAAAATGCAAGCTAGAGGGAAGCAAAGAGTTCCAGCACTGATTGATATCACCATTCTCCATTGCACTCCAGTTTAAGCACACCTTCTGTTCTGCCAATCAAAGGCATTTAGGAAAGTGGTGCTTTTTTCCGGTCATTCACATCCATCCCCATATTACTGAAATACAAGTGAGAAAATTTCATTAAAAAAAAAGTGAAATTCCCCCAGAATTGTTGTGTAAGTTGCTGTCTGAGAGTTAAACTGGTAAATTCTACATATAATGGATAAGATCAGACCTCTATAAAAATAACTCGTATTCAGATATACTTAGGGAGAAAGTGGCAAATGAAAGACTCAATTACATCAAGATGATCAGGGCATAATCTCAGGAGGTCACATTAAGAACTGTATATGGGTGTACCAGTATAGCTGTGTATGGGACCAGCTTTATCATAATCAGTTATAATCACTGGCCTCAGGCAATGAATTACAGGCTTTATTGTACATATGTTTTATATTCTAGTAGAAATAAAGTGATAGGTAAGAACTTTAGTAAAAAGGGGAACAAAAACAAACCAAGGGCCATTTTGAGTGGGAATCCGTGCACAGAAACTATAACACTGAGCCAAAGAGAAGAATTATCAAAATACCTGAAGATTTTAATTCTATATATCAACTCATCAGCAGTGACCCCTAGTTCTCTAATTCTAAATCTCTAACGTTCTGTGTCTAATTTCCCTTTGTCTGCACCTGATGTTAATTGCCAAGACTGAATAGAGAACGTTAAGAAGCCCAAAGAATCTGCTGGGTCAAAGCTGGAATTTACCTTAGATGTAGTGTATGCCTACTGTTACATAACATGCTTTTAATTAAAAGTAATAAATCTGTCTAAGAGAAACTAACTGTAATGATTGGGATTCTTTTGCTTTTGGCTAGTCCATGAAAAGAGAAAGCCAGTCAGGAAAAGGAACCACATCAAATTATATCAGTGCCTAATTGTATCAGTAACTAATCTGTTAGCAGTCAGACTGAAATTAGGAAAGGAAGTTCATGCTCAGTCCATGTGTCCACAAAAGGGCTCTCTGGTACAGTCTCTGGAAGATGGAAAATGCTCAGTAAATATACATTTAATGGATGAATGAATGTATGAACTGATTCTGTCATAAGTGGAATAAGTGACAGCCTACTGAAAAGTTCTGTGGACAGCCCTTACACAAGATTTACACATAAACAAAAAGAGCAAATTACCATATTTTATGCAAATAACGAAGATGTTATACTTTTTTTGCATATAATGGATCCCTCCCCACATGTTGCTGACTTCAATTTCTTTCTTTTTTTTTTCTGTCTAACGGATTTAATGTTAGTAAGTCTTCATCTTGGTGCCTATTGACGGAGAGGTTTGGTTCCCAGCAGCAGACCCTCACCAGCCTACCCTCGAGTTTTCTAAAGCAGCTCGTCTCCTGGCAGGATTCCTTCCCTGTTATGCAAACCACTTACTCCAGTGCAGAAAGAAATTACTTTTTCCGCCCTAGAAACAGCCCTGGCCAGGGTGTCCGGACCCAGCCCAGGGCGAGTCTGGGCACCCCAGACGGGAAAGGCCACTCAGGGAGCCGCGCACATTCTGCCCCGCGGCCTGGCTGGCCGGCTGCCGCGCTCAAGCCGTTTGAATCTCCCGCCCGCGGGGACGACACAGGGCGTGTGTGAGAGCATCTGCGCAGAGGAGTCGCGTGTCCCTTGCTCGGAGGAGACGGGTCGGACTGGCACCGGGGCAGTGCACGCCAACACCCACACCGTCCTGCCTACCGCTTGTCGTGGCGCCGGCACCGCAGGGACCCTGGAGGGAGGCCCCCCGCCCACCAAGGGACCAGCCTGTGCACCAGCTGGGCAGCCCCCCTTACCCACCCCAAACCACCACACACTGCCCCCCCCCCCCACCCCGCTCATCAGCCCTCCACCCTACTCTCCTCCAGTCTCTAGGGGGAGATACCGGGGCCCAGATCCCGTACAAGGAACTCTACCACTTTCAAGCTCAGCCGGGAACTGCCCCAGAGCAAGGGCACAGTTTCAATTGCTTACTTTCCAATTACTGAGGATCTACCAAATTCGATCCATGACTTCTTGACCATGGCTTATACCTTTATTATACAAATATGATCAAAAGTAACATTTTCAGATTATTGAATGAAGGTGAATGAGGCCAAAATTCCCTTCTGAAAATGTCACGCGGGAGACATGCGCGGTATATGCACTAGCATGTTATGGCAGAACTTTTTACACAATTTCATCATTTCTGCGCATTATGTGTACTTGAGCGCGCTATTTGTGAGAAATACAGCAGCTATTCCTTTCATGGTGGTTGCCAGTCCAACTACATGTCCATGGAGAATGTTCCATTCATAAGAAGATCTTCATCATCTCACAAATCCAGTTTTGCCTTCCAGCACAAGGGATGTCATTCCAGCCCCAGTTTCCATTAACAAGATTTATGATAACACAACGCTCATTATGATTACTGGGTTCACCAGAATGCCAGAATCTGAAAGAAAAAGGATGAGGCTATTTCTTCAAACTGTGCTTTGAAAAGCGTTAGAGACTGAGGGAGCTGGGGTTGAACAGTGTGAAGTCCAGGTCAGATATGTCCAATCATTCCGTCCTCACTTCTCATGATGTCTCCTTTGGGAAACCCTCAAGTTTAAGCAGCTTCTCCTACATCTGTTTCTCTGACATTTCCCTTGAAAATTGTGCCCACATCACCTGTTATTCTGCCACCTTAAGCAACTAAGAACACATTAAACATCCTCCCACCAGCTATCCCACAGGCTCCTGTCTGTTTGTTCATCCTTCTGTCCTATTCCCATGGGACTACCAATCACATAGGGCTTCCTTCAGTGATGAAAAAAATCCCGCCGGTCCCAAGTATCAATACAGTTTGTTCTTTACCCACTGCTTTTGAAGTCTGGAGAACTAGTTAAGCTCACTGGGACCGCTACTTACTCCCTACTATCTTGGGCAAGTAATATAATTTCCCTGAGTCTCAGATTTCCTGTCTAAAAAATGGGGATTGGTAAGACAAGGTCATGGAAACTTCACAGACACATTTGAACTCCCTAAGGACCAAATTACTGGGCTGAGAGCTGGGGACCATGGTCTCTGGGGACATGTAGCTCAATTGGCGTATCATAATTTATAAAGAAAATGTTCTATATCCTGTTTGGTGAGTAGCCTCTAGGGTCTTAAAAGCTTGTGAGCTGCCATTTAAGACACTCCATTTGTCCCACCTGGTCTGGAGCAAGGGCGAATGAAGAAATCCAAAGACACAAGGGAAAGATCAGCCTAAAGGACTAATGGACCACAACTACCACTGTTTCCACCAGGCTGAGCATAGCACAACTAGATGATGCCTGGCAACCACCACCAACTGCTCTGATAGGGATCACAATAGAGGGTCCCGGACAGAGCTGAAGAAAAATGTAGAACAAAATTCAAACCCATAAAAAAAGACCAGACTTACTGGTCTGACAGAGACTGGAGAAACTCTGAGAGTATGGCCCCTGGACACCCTTTTAACACAATAGTGAAGTCACTCCTGAGGTTCACTCTTTGGCCAAAGGTTAGACAGGCCCATAAAACAAAACGAGACTAAATGGGCACATCAGCCCAGGGGCAAGGATGAGAAGGCAGCAGGGGACAGGAAAGCTGGTAACAGGGAACCCAAGGTTGAGAAGGGGAGAGTGTCGACTTGTCATGGGCTTGGCAACCAATGTCACAAAACAATATGCATATTAATTGTTTAATGACAAACTAATTTGCTCTGTAAATCTTCATATAAAGTACGATAAAAAAAAAGTTAAAAATGGGGTTTAAGTAATATCCACATGTATTTCACACAGTTGCTATGAAGATCAGAACTGGTAATGTACTCAAAAGTTCTTCAAAAAATACACAAATAGGAGTTATTATAAGATTATCAGAATTTAATATTTTTTGCTTTAGGACAAATATTAAATCTTATTAATTAATTATAATCTTCAATGACATGAATTTTTTGTTTTATTTAGAGATATAAATGTGGCTAAAAGCACAACTTCAGTGTCAAATAGACCTGGGTTTAAAAAAAAAAATGTAGTTTTATTGTTGTTTTTAAGCAGCAGAGACATGAAATGGTCCAGTATGGTGAAGGATTCAGGGTTCTTTTATTGAATGCTATACTCACACGACACTTTCGTTGTATGGTGACTGATCTACCCATTGCCACTGGCGCATCCCTTCTGGGTCTGACAGCCCCACATAGTAAGCAGAATGTCTATTCAGCTTCTGGATTATTAATAGCTGAGAGAAGAAAAGAAAGGACTCACAGACTGTGGAGTACTTAGGTTGTATTGAGTTTCTTATGGTCTTAGGAAAAAGAGAAGAAAAGAACAGGAACCAGGGAAAGCCACATGGCCCCTGACCATGATCACAGGACTTCTGTGGTTTAGCAGAGCAGGATGAACTATATCACTTATGAACATATGGGAGAGAGTTCTAACCATGATCAGACTGAATTCTAATCTCATACTCACTTTCCCTCTTTTCTTCTCTAAGAAGTGGTGTTCTTTAAAGTTGTATATGAGACAGTCTTCGCAGATTCAATCATTTTTATATCATAACTTCAGAGGTGCTTTAATTTCATTTCTGATTGTTGATTGTGATTCTCAAGATTCAACTTTATTTCTGTATTCTATTTAATACCCCTTCTTTGTTAAGTAGTGAATGATGTATAAAACATTCACATGTTGAAAGAACAAACTGATATTTCAGACTGAAATTTTCTCATCCTTCCACTCAACTCCCATATGTTATATTTTAAATGCCCCAATTTCTTTTGGGGGAGGTTTTATTAAAACAAGAAGAAGGTATAGAATGTAAAGGCTTAGGAGCCTCTCCAATTTACTTTCATAAAAGCCTTCTGCCACAGCACCAACATCCCAGAACAATAAAGCTTCCTCTCAGCCAACAGAGATGAACAAACCTCCTGCTTCATGGTCGATTAGAAAGTACCTGCTCCTCCTTGGTGTTGATCACCAGCAGATGAGCTCCCATCCCAATGCAGTTCTTCTCACTGTTAGTCCAATTACTAAATTTAAAAGAAATAAAGTAGCAGCTGGTATTGGATACAATCCAGTTCTCTGGGCAGCAGCCCCATCCTTTTCCTGTATTGGGAAGAAGGACATATAAGCACAACATAAGCAAAGTAATTTTTAAAGTGCTCATAATATTAAAATTAAGCACCAAGGGAAATATCTGCTTTGGGGAAGATGGAGTAGACATACTTTTCCCTATTCCTCTCACTAAGTACAACTAAACATCCTTGACATTAAATATAAAACAAACACAAAAAGACTCTAAAAGACGGCAGACTTCTAGGGACCTTGGGACCCAAGGAATCACATGGTAGTGAGTTCCTAGGGTTTCTCTTTGTCCCATAATCCCAGACTTGGAATTGAAGATATGGTGACTCAGAAACATCAATGGGGCAGACAAAAAAATAGGGGCCTAACAAGAGCCTTCTTACTCTATCCAAAGAACTAGGAAAGAGGCAGCCTAGCAAGACATAAAACTTTTAGACAATAACCACTCTATTATCAGCAAAGACCTCAGGAGGACTGGGGGTGAGAGGAGGGGAAAGGAAACTGTGACCTCCATTCCAGCAAAGCATAAATGGGTAGCCTAGGCTTCTACCTTTTTGAGGCTGTAATAAGGTGCCCCTACACCCCCACCAGGGTGGTGTCAGAGATCAAGTAGGAAGTGGGACTTTTATTTCCATGGACAGTAAGGAGACCTCCCCACCCTACAATGTCAGTGAAGATCATGTGAGGAGCCTGGACTCCCACTCCAACCTGGCAGTAATGAGGCATCCCTCCAGCTTCTCACTGGGTTGATGTCAAAGAAGGCCTAGTAGAGAGTCAAGACTTTTGCCATGCCCAGCAGTAAAGAGAACACCCTCACTGCAGTATCAGTGGAGACCACATGGAGAGCAGAATTCCCTCTCCCACCCGGCAGTAAAAAGCATCCCTTCCTCCTCAGGTGACAACACAGGCTGAGTGGGGAGCATGAAATTCTACCTCCATCTGGCAGCTACAAGGTGGGACCCTTTTTGTCCCTGTCAGTGTGGTATCAGAAAGTATCAGAAAAAGCCAAATAAAAAAGGTTTAAATAAGATTTAGAGTCTCATAACATAAATTGAAAATATCCAGATTTCAATATAAACATACTCATCATAGCAAGAACCAAGATTTCAAACTAAATGAAAAAAAAAACAATTAATAGATGCTGTCTTAGTTATATAGTGCTGCTGTAAGAGAAATACATAAGTGGATGGCTTTAACAAACAGAAATTTATTTTGTCACAGTTTAGGAGGTTAGAAGCCTGAATTCAGGGCACCAGCTCTAGGGAAAGGCTTTCTCTCTCTGTCAGCTCTGGGGGAAGATCCTTGTCTCTTCAGCTTCTGTTTCCTGGTTCCTTGCAGCCCTCCTTGTGGCTTAACATCAATATTTCCCCATCTCTGCTTGCTTGTTTAATCTTTTTTATATCTTGAAAGAGACTGAAGAACACTCTACATTAATCCTTCCTCATTAACATAACAAAGAAAATTCATTCCCAAATGGGCTTATTACCACAGGCATAGAGCTTAAGATTTACAACACATATATTTTTTGGGAGACACAATTCAATCCATAATGGATGCCAACACCAAGATGACAGAAATGTTAGAATTATCCGGCAAAGATTTACAAGCAGTCATGATAAAAATATCTCAGTGAGAGAGTACAAACACTCTAGAAATGAATGAAAAATAGGAAGCTTCATGAAAGAAATAGAAAGTATAGGTGAAGAAATAAAGACATAGAAGATATAAAAGAGGACCAAATGAAACTTTAGAATGGAAAAATACACTGACCTAAATAAAAAAAAAAAATCCAGTTGGCTGGGATCAACAGCAGAATGGAGTTGACATGGTGAAGAATCAGTGAAATGGAAGAGAAAATAATAGAAATTGCCCAATCTGAATGATAGAGAAAGTAGAACGAAAAATAAAAGAAGACAAAGAACAGGGGACCTATGGGGCTGTAACAAAAGATCTAACGTTCCTGTTATCTGAGTCTCAAAAGGAGAGGAGAAAGAAGATGGGGCTGAAAATGGCTGAAAACTTCCTAAGTTTGGAAATCAACATAAACTTATAGATTCAAGAATCTGAGAGAAACCTTAACAGAATAAGCCCAAAGAAATCCATGCCAAGATGACTCCTAATTAAACTTCTGAAAACTACAAAGAAAAAAATCTTAAAAGCAGCCAGAGAAAAACAACACCTTATCTATAGGGAAAAAACAATTAGAATGACAGAAAATTTTCCATCAGAAACCACGGAGGCCAGAACAAAGTTGCACAATATTTTCCAAGTGCTGAAAGAAAAGAAGACAACCCAGTATTTTATACCCAGCAAAAATAACTGCTCTATGTGCTTCCTGAGGATCAAAAGTGATAAAATGTATAAAGCAATTTGAAAATTGATGTGGTATAAAATGTGAGGCATTGTTATCATAACTGTTATTGTTATGTTTCCTTTTCATGATCGTCTGCTCTGGGAGAGAAATAGGTAGAAAGGACAGTCATCTGGTGGGAAAAAAAAATATCTTAATCAACGGCCAGACTCTCAGAGGACACAGAAAATGTCATGGAGACCCCATTCATTGGGCTGCTTCACACAGAGACTGAAATGACCTGAGGAGAGTAAGGATGATTCTTGAGTTCATAAGTGGCACTAAATTGTCACAAGAGGGGTGAAAGTTCTTTGACAACCAGCAATTTCAGAGAAAGAAGAGGAGTGAACAAAGTGGTTTTTTGGCTTTGAGGAGGAAAATCCTGTTCCTGCCCTCAGATATTATCAAGATGATTTTTTTCCTATGGAACAACCTAAAGTACCAAACTGAGAAGAGAATAGAAGCAGTGTGAGTGGAAAATGAACACTTTGAAAGAAACAAGTTTGAGAGTGCCAACGGGATGAAGATGAGTGAGACAGGGAAATTGTCAGAATGTCTAGCCCAAGAATAAGCAATGAAGAGGTACAAGATCACAGAAAACAAAGTAAATGAGAACTTAGTGCATTATATTAGCCCTGTATCATAGTATATACAGTAATCTCTCAGTAGGTTTGAGAGATTTTTTTAAGAGTTAAAATCAAGTACACTTACATAATACACTTTTTAAAACAGAATGTTGTATTTGGTCTTACAAAAGGTGCTAAAATTCAGTTACCTAAAGAATGGATTTTACTATAAAATACTTAAGAAATTTAACTTAATTTGACCAACTTAGTAAAATGCGTACCTTAAAATATACTGAGTGAGAGGGACAGGGCCAAGATGCCGGAGTAGTCAGATGCTTCCAGTGGACCTTCTTACAACAAAGACCCGAAAAAAACAAGTGATTCAATTATATATGACAATCTGGGAGTCCTGAACATCAAAGGCAAAGTTGAGGAACTGGACTGAGTAGCAGGGGGAGGGAGAGATGGTTTGGAAGCAGCAAGGAGGTGCCGGCCCTGACCCAGCGAGAGCCTGAGCCCTTCAGGCCTGATCAGCTCGGGATTGAGTGGTGAGGCAGGCAAGCATTGGTGCTTGGGAGGCTTATTCTGCACAGGGAAAGACCCAGCCACTGAGAGTCTACTCGCCCACGCAGAACCAGTGAGAAACAGCCCTCGATCACCGAAAGGTAAGTATTTGCGTCCGGCCTACCACACAGATCAAAAACACCACCCTCAAAGAAAAAAACCTCTCTCCCATTTACCTCCTCACTCTCTGCTCTGCACTGGGTCCTGGACCGGCTTCAGCAATTGCCAAGTCCCCTGGGCTGAAAGTATGATCAGTCACATGTCCTGAGCCATTCTCCCAGCCTTGGAGAGTGAACAAATTAACAAAGAGGAGACAAAATAAACTGCCAGCTCCCCTAAGCCAGGAACTCAGGGTAGGCACAGCTCCTTTGCCTAGACACAGGTATAAGGGATCCGTGGACTTTGAGTGCCTTTCCCCCTGCATAGACTTGTGTGGGCACATTTCAACATCGTAGGCCCTCATTACTGCAGTAAAACAGGGTATTATACCTGAAGTCTAATTTCAACCTTTTCAGCTGTGAAGTGGCAGGTTCGCGACATTTGACTCTGCTCTGCCCATTAAGCAGGATCTTCACCTACCCACATCAGGGACCTGAGGACTGGTGGCACCACACACACCACCTAGCCACCTGCAATAGGGGCCCAAGAATAAGAGGTGCCCCTCAGTTTTACAGCCAACAGCATTGGGTGCTGATCATCTGGCGGCAAAACCCAACCACCTACACGCGCTAAGGAACAGGGACATGCCTTCCTCCTGGACACTCGGAGGTGGCCATCAGCCCCCTGCCTCACTCAAAGTGTGTTGCCCTGCTGCAGCCAGATGCCTTTGCCTACACCAATCATCCACCCCTGTCTAGGACTGTAGGTGAGAGCCTGCACTACACACATGGTGGCTATCTACCTAGGCACCTGAGTTGAATCCATACAGGAGGACTGGGCGGACTCCTGAGCTCACATACCTAGTAAGAGATCTAACCACCTGGTGACAGGACATTAGAGCCTCAAAGGTGCCAAAAGTCAACCTAGCTCATACGAGCAGCCTATTTGGGCATATCAAAACAAAACAAGTAGCTAGGACACAGTAAGCAAACATAAATAAATATAATAACTTACTGATGGCTTGGAGACAACAGTCAATATCAAATCACATAAAGAGGCAATCCATGATGACTTCAGCAAGCTCCCAAAATAAAGAATCTAGAAATTTTCCAGAGGAGGACATTTCCAGAGGAGGAAAATTTCTTGGAATGACCAGAGACAGAATACAAAAGATTAATATACAGAACTCTTCAAGAAATGAAGAAGGAAATTAAGCAAAACACAGAACACGCAATAGAAGAAATTAAAAAGATTAGAGAAGAGCATAATGACAAATTTAACAGGCTGCAAGAATCCATAGAGAGACAGCAATCAGAAATCCAGAAGATTAACAATAAAATGTCAGAATTAGACACCTCAATAGAAAGTCATAGGAGCAGAATTGAGGCAATGGAAGTCAGAATTAGTGAGATTAAAGATAAAGCACTTGACACCAACTTATT